GGATAAGAGTATGGGCCCAAAATCAAATTTTTGGGACAAAAACATTAACAACTATGTATGAGTATGACCTAAACATGATTAATCAAAAAAGTAATAGAAACAAAGCAAGAATGTCAAAAAAGAAATCAGATGGAATGGTGGTTTTGTATATTTGGTTAGAAGAGGGGAACATAAAGGCTGTTGGATCACATGCACATCACATTCTTTTTCTTCTTCCTCTTCTCTTCTTTTCATACTGTGGTGGCTGATGAACGTTAAAGAAAAGTGTTTTTTGAAAAAAAATAAAAAATAAAAATAAAAGGTCCCACAATTCAAGGCTGCTGTTAATACTACTCCTCAATCCAAGGGATTCCCTTGTGATGATCAACTCCATTTGGGTCCCTCCATCATCTTCTTCATCATTTCATGCATATATATCAAGACCCACCTCTTACGTCCATTACTAACAAAGCAAACTATGCTTAAAGTGACCATTCCAATAATTCATCTTATAAAATTGTTCATCGAAATTCGTCATAAATTATTTTGTAATTGATCCACCGGATGGTCATCCATTCTGGGGAACTGCAGTTATATAACTTCAAATCATTTCTAGTGTTGGGTCGATCCGGGCTGTCCAGTTTCTATGTTTTCCCCTATAAATTCTTTTAAAAATATATTTATACAGTATATCTAAATATTTCCTTAAATAATCATTCAAATATAATTGCCACCTAATTATCCACTGAGAAAACCACCCTTTTGCGTGCTCAATCATGTCAAGCAAAAAGCTTTATGTATAGATGATAATCAACGATCATAACTGACTGTCCATTAATGAAAATGATGCGCCATCCTTTTGCACTATTTGATTGTCACGCGCGCTTCTTAATTAGCACCACAGCTAGGGCTTGTTTTGTTTGGTCAATTGTGATGATCGATCCATAGTTTCTTTTTTTTTTTTAAAAAAAAAAATGAACCCTGCTGCATGCTTAATATATCTAAAGAAAGAAGGCGAGATATGAACAGAGAAGTAGACAAGGACGTGCAGTTCATCCTAGGACCACTACTGTTGCCAAAAGTGAAGCCGGCAGAACAATTCTGGACAACGGAGTTAACATATATATTTGTTGTTTGGCCGAGGCTTTAGTAGTTTAAAGATGTTTTTATAATTAATTAAACTCTCAACAATGTCGAGATATGCGGTTTCCACAGTTACTGAAAGCTGCATATGCAACACCCTGCAAAAGTTTTTTTTTTTTTTTTTACACTAAAAGTACTAATTCTCATATAATTAATATCCAATGTTATATGAATCAAACTTATAATTAATTAACTTTACTCCACTTAAAAGTTGAGCCTTAAGTGATCATTTAAGCACATTAGGAGATGATTACACTCATTTGAGATATTAAACTTACGTGTTAAAACTAAAACATTGCCAAAAATTGTAAAAATTAAGAGATTCTGCAATCGACATGAAAACAAACTCAACTTAGAAATATGTCGATTCGGTTAACATAATTAATCAGCCAATTACTGGAGATAGATGCTATATATATCTGTTGCAAGTTTAAATAATGGGTTTTAAAATTTTTAATTTAAATGTTACAGCATAGTAGCATCAGCATGGACTGTTAATTAGAAAGAAACACTTTGAAAACTTTTCCTGGAAAAATAAATTAATGGAAATTAAAGCACCATGTACTGAGCAACAGGTTGGCATGCATTTATAAAAAATATCAATGACATAAAGGATTCAGCGCAAAGATTGTCATCAATAAAATTTCTTTAGGGAACATGCTTAAAAAGGAACTATTAAATTCAACAACTTAATCATATACTTAACCTTACCCACAAATCATCTTTCTTTTTCTTCTATGAACAGTAAACTTCTTTTCAACCCAAGTTTCTTTTAAAGAAGCATCTTACAGTAGAACCAAATATTAAATTATTGCACTAATTCTGAGACTGTACATGCTAGAACAATGAATACAATACATAGAAATGGAAATGAATGATATTATTATAGAGGAATAAGGTAAAGACAATCTCTCAAGCTATGCAATACAAATACTCGATTTGGATTTGGGTCCCCTCAGAACTGAGCAAATAAGTCTCGTACCCGAGGCAAGAGGGTATGTGCAGCAAAAGATAGATATTCAGTTTAAAATGGAATAACTTTGATAATATACTAGTGTAAGAACAGTGATGACTGATGAGAAGGAGTCCCATAAATATGATTCACGGATGTACATCTGATAAAAAGAAGGTAAAAGAGATACAAAGTGGAGGTACGCCAATAGAGATTCATAACAAATGTACCCCACAAAGAGAAAAGAAGAAAAACAACTTTATAGGGAATATGGAGGATTTTAGATGATTGAACTCAAGTCAGTCAGTCTTCCACGTTAATATAATTTAATACCCTTTAATAACATATAATTAAATAAATACATAGACATTAAAGATGATTGGTAGATAAAAAAAAAAAAAAAAGAAAAGGGAAAGTAAAGGGGAAGGGACATGACAGGACTGAGATCGGCTGGGGTTTGCGGTGGAAGTGGAAGTAGAGGTGGAATAATGAATAAAAACAATAATAATAATAGATGGCAGATAGTTATTAATCATGGAAGAAGCATATTCACTTTCCTCTTTGTCATCACTTTCTAAGGCATGATTAGAAAAAAGTTCATCAATCTTCTCTCCTCCTTAAAGAAAAGCATTCTCTTCCTTCCACTTCACTTTTCTCTATTACTGTACACACAACTTGCTTCCCAAGCCTTCTACTGTAATACATCTCCTCCTCCTCATAATTATTAAGAATTTTGTTTACGATAATAATACTTTGTTAATCTTTTTTGCAGCTCGGCTCTAGGGTCAATGTCTAAACACAGGCTCAGCTTCAAATAGTACTTAGCTAATAATTAAGAAGAGATGACAAATTGATAACAATGGTTGTTCAACTACCAACATGGTTTGATCAACTTGATACTAATCACTCCATTTCGTCCCAAGGTACTAGATTTTATCAATAATTGAACAATTAGGTTTTATTCATTATGAACAAGTTGTAACAGTTAACAGTGCTTGATATCTCTGCGGGTGAAAATTCCTTTTGCCTAGTTCCAGGGATGCAGGCATACAAAATTTTAATGATGAGTGATGAGATCCATCTACATCAAAAAAATTATTCCAGAAAATAATAAAGATATTTATTTAGACCTCTATAAAAGAGTTTATATCACTAGATTTCTATGTGTACTTGTATAAAGTAAGATCCAAGAATTTAAATACGTTTATTTTCTAACAAAGATTTTTAGTGTAAGAGGTATTTGCCTAATCGGGTTGCATTCTGCCCAATACAGTAAGCCCAGTCCAATTCCATAACTGAATCCCCTCAACAGGCATTCAACCCACTCATCAAATCAAGCATCTTAAAATAGATATTAACTCAGGAATCACTTCTTTTCATATAATAATAATCGGAGGTCCTCGCATCCCAAATATTCATGTGAATATTCGTATCTATACTATTCTATCCAAATGAGGCCAGCCTTCATAATCCACATCTTCATTAACATTACACTCATAAATTACACTGACAAGACTAACCCAATAAATATCTTCCGATTTAGAAACTGTAACTTAATATTTTAAAAGCAATTAACGACTTGAGAGAATCAATTTTTTATTACCATTATTATTATTAAATGGTGTAAAAAATTAAGTATTATTACCGCATGGGTGGTCAGAGAAAACTTTTACCTATGTATGTTATATAAATGTAAAATAGGTATATGCGTGAGCAACGTGTTATAGCATAACATGCTAATGTAAATGTTGCGTGTTTGAGCATTTACGCAACCAGTTGGCCTAACATTCCACAAACAAGCATCGTGGCAATCACAATGTGGGGTTCCCTTTATCCTCCTTTTTGCATCTCAACTACACAAGCCTGAATCATTACATCGACCGCCCAAATCTAAACCAAATACCAAAACTCATTCATCAACTAAAAGTAGGTCCGTGTTGTTAAACAAGAAACCACCAAATATTTAATTTATAAATACTGTTCAAATATATATATTTTTCATTTTTACTCTTCTGTTTCTCTTAATCCTCTTCTTCCCCAAACCCCTACCATCCAACACAATAATGAATATACATCCGTTTGTTTAACTTTTCTCACTCTATCCCATCCTATCCTGAAAAATGAAAAAATATGTTTGTTTTAATATTACTCAAAATTCAATCATATTCTATTCAATCCAAAATATTTAATAATTACATTTCTCAATAAAAGTTTTAAAATTAACACAAACACCTCCACCCACCCAACTTTCTGCCGACACCCGACCACTACCACCGAACAAAAGTCGTCAGAATAGCACACGATCGACTGGATCTAGTCGATCATGCACCAATCTGTCTGTTTTCGACCAAATATGGTTGTCAACGACTAGATCTTTGCTATTTCGGTGACTTCCTACCACCATCCGACAGTGGTAGCAGGTTGTCGACAATTAATTAGTTAAATTAACAAATATAGAGGATTAAAAAATAATCTCTATATTTTCAAAAAATTTATCAAATACTTTCTCATAATCTTATCATATTTAATTAAATCATATCCAATAGTATTCATAATAGAATATTATTTAGAAAAGTGAAACAAACGGAATACTTTTTCGCTGCCACATAAATTCCCCCACCTCACAGTACCTATCAAATAGTATTACAATCACAATTGTTCCTATTTTCCACCATATTTACCTATTTTATACAGTACCCAAAATCCTGCATATATGGCTAGAAGTTATAGATCTAGAATTTCAAAAATATCGTCGCTAATCCACGAACAACAATAACCTGATGAAATACTCCAGACTCCATAAACTAAAAATTGTTTCCGAGCCTAAATATCAACATGTTGAAACCCAAGCGCAACAACATAGAACTAAATACTAGAGAAAATTCAACACATGAATCCTTCATATGCAAGATACGGCAACAAAATATTTGAAATATGGAGTGCCAATGAAGGAAGTAGCAATTATCAAAACGATAAGAACAATCAATATAACATTGAAACAACATTAAGGCTTTTACATTTACCCCATTACATATATACCTGCATGCCAATTAACTTAAAGGACTGACACAGGGGACAAAAACTAAGCTTACTTTCACAATCTTTACACAGACAAAGATGCTTACAAGGCAACAAAAGCATGCATACCTCGTTAACTCTACAAACCTTACAAGTCGTCAACTCTTTCATATCGTTATTTTCCTTGCTGAGAAGATAGAAATCAATGGCACGACCATTACAGCATGAAGCCGTATCATCGACCTCGCTGTCACCACATCCTTCTTTACTGTCTCTACTTTGAGCATAAACATGCTGAAGATTAAACTTCAGGGCATTGACCATGTTTTCATTGTACCTAGCCCGTTGTTGCCAAGCACCCACTTCCTCAGCCAATTGCTCCACTCGTTCTTCAAGTTCCATATTTCTCTTATTAATGTTATCCACCTCTGCTTCTTTCTCACGAAGTTTCTGGAAAATCTTCTCTTCCACAAATGAGATGGTTTGTAGTTGGTTGGCCTGAACCTTCTCTATGATAGCTTGCCTTAATCGGTCACCCTATTATGATAATGAACACAATCAAATAATAAAATTCTTCTTCGCTAAATCAAGCTACATTTGAACAATTTAGGAAAGAAAACAAAAGAAAAGAAAAATTAGAAATATTTACATTATACAATACAAGAATTGGAGGGATCATAATCTAATAAAACATCAAATTAAAGAGACATAAAAAAGTAATGTTTTCTTACCATGGGCACTTTTTAATAGATAATCATATCAAATTGATATCTAAGAGAGAAGTAGAAAAAACCCACAATTCTCGAATCATCAAACATTTGCGAGTCAAGATTGTAAGCGTTCTCAGCCTCTGTATAACTCTTTCTTCACATACCTATATTTATATCTTGACCAGATAATTCTTAATATAGAATATGGACACAAGTCCTATGTATCTAACGTGAAATTACCTACATTTGGAAGGGTTTATAAACATTTTCCTCATGAAACCAAATCACACATTTCTCGGACAGGCATCACCAATGGACAGAGCAATAGTCCTAATTAAGGGTTCCTGTATCATAAAACCTTCCGCGGGTGTATTTAGTTATTGATTACCATAATGGCTGCAATGCCAAAATAACTTAACTAAGTTACTAAATGCAGCCTTGGTTTAATTTATCTACTAAAATTCACAAAGGCAGGCTAACATGTTTCCTGCAACTTAAGAAACTTTATATGACACTAGTAAGTGATATATCATTCACAAGTATCTTTCTAACCCATTGTTTTGACAGACACTGAAAGATTTCTTTTCAGACAGGTCAAAAGTGAAAGGTCCTAATAAAAAATTCTCTTAAAATATAACAGATATCTCAGTTACCAACAGCCATGCAAATGCTAAACTTGCATTGTGTAACACTTGGCCAACTCAGACTGGAACAAGGCCATAATTATAAACTTAATACACGCATAGATAAAAAGAACTGCTTTATCAAGAATGCATCAGAATTGTCAACTTGATCAAGTACTTATTCTGAGGAATCCTAACAAATAAGACAAAAGCAAAAAAATATCAACATAAGAACATGATAACTGCATAAACATTCAACAAATACAACACCAACTACTATCCTCAGATTCCTAAACTGTGCTACAAAGTAATTGCTCCAAAACAAAATCAAGGGCCATTCTGGAAATTGATAACGCTTCCTGATAATATGGAAATTGATAACTTACTGAATCTTTAAACAAGAACAGACCTGAAGTTTGAGGAATCTATCAATCTCAGCATCCTGTCGCTGTACTTCACCATCAATGTCATCACTGATGAGTGACAACAAAGCCGAGTCTGCAGAAGAAGCCATTTGTGTGTTGTCAAGGGACAAACCTAATCCTGTTGACACAGGTCGTGTTTGCAAGAAATCAACCGATGATATCTGTGAATTGTTCTCCAAAAAATCCTGTTCCTTCAATCTTTTCCGCTTTGGCTCCAAACTATAGTTCCATTGCAAATCTACTCCCCCATCACTGCCGTCTGTTGCATTGACAGGACCAGGAGCAAACCCAACAACATGAACTAGAATGAAAACAAACGCATCATAACGGACTTTGTAAGATAAAACAGATAATAAACTGTATCAAGAGATTTTTTTTTTTTTTTTAAAAGAAAAAAAAAATTGAATATGCTTCTTTGCTACAGATATCTTGGAAACAAATGACAAAAGAAATTAAAAAAAAAAAAAAAATTCTACTGTTTACTTCTTAGAAAATGAAATATTCAGCTGAGATGTTTCCTTCTGCTTGTTTTTTTCCTCTTATGTATAAGTAAGATAGCAAATAATAAACCATTCAGCTCGATTAAGCCAGAAGCAAATTTCAAAATCTAACTAAGTTGTTTTTCCTTCTTTTGTTTAAGATTCTTGGAAACTATATAAATGGATTATAAAATGGCTTCACTTCATTTTTTCTATGACATTTCCCTAATTATTTATTAGCCATCAAACTGAGTATAGAGAGATGAAGAAACATACAGGGAGGAATATATGGAGGATGCTGAGACTGATCCTGTAAATTATTTGCTGTGTTGTAATAAGCTACTGGCGGCGAAACCTGACCGTCGATTGAGTATAAGTTTCTGAAAATGAAAATTAAAAAACGACATAAATAAGAAAAATATTGAACAGAAAAAGAAAGATTATTGAAAATAGGTAGGGTTTAGGGGAAAAAATAAGAAGAAAAAAGTTTCAAAATCCAAAACATAATTACCTGAAATTTTTGGAGTGTTGTTGTGGTTGAGATTGTTGGTAATGTTGTTGCAAATGGTGTTGATGGAGAGCCATAGTGAGACTTCAGAAACAAGTTGAGAGAGAGAGAGAGAGAGAGAGAGAGAGAGAGAGAGGGAAAGAACAAACGAGAGAAACGAGTTCTGTCATTTAAGAGACTGGCGAGTTGGACCATGGCAGATATTCTTTTTATTTCCTTTTTGCCACCGATATTTTTCCTAAATTATTTTTTGACCATACAATTTCACTTATTTAACCTAAAAGGCACTTCTTGAAAGTTGAATGACTCTGAGTGGACCAGGCTTTAATTGTGAGGAGTGAATAGAGGCCTCGGCTCCTGCCAAGCCCAATCTTTTACTCAACCCATCAATTCGGTCGGTAAAAAGTTGAATATACATGTATTTAATCGATATTAAACATTATTTATATATTCTTTGATTATCTAAAAGATCGTTGAACTATTGACGACGTTAGTTATGGGAATTATAATTAATAGCCTTGTAAACTACCACTAGAATTTGGTAAAAATTGATCAAGTTTGAACTTTGAACAATTGGTTTTGTTGGGTCTATATATTTCAGTGGGTACAGAAATATTTAATTTCATATTGTGAATGGTTTGGTGGGCTTGAAATTTGAAGTCTGTCATTACTAATTGGTTTAATACAATACCCACGGTTAGAGAGGTAATTTGCACAGTAAGGAGCATGCTCACAAAACAAGCAAAGTCAATAGTGGGTTTCGGTTGTCCAGAAGTTTGATATTTAATGAATGGGTAATATTACGTTTACATCACTCTTTTACACCATATTCATTACATCATATATGCATGTGATCATGCTTTCTTGGCGACTTACCACTACCCATTAAGAGTAATGTTATATTTACACCACTTTTTTACACCATATTCATTACATCATCGCCAAGAAAGCATGATCACATGCATGTAAGAGATAGTGAGAGATATATAATGAATATGGTGTAAAAAAGTGGTATAAATATAACATTACTCTTAATGGGTAGTAATAAATCGTCAAGAAAGCATCATCACATGCATGCAAGAGATAGTGAGAGACACGACAAGCTCACTCAATTAATTGCAAACAATCCCCTTTCCAGAGAGAAACCATTTAAATAACAAGGGGCCTCCACCAAGTAAAAGAGAGGCGGCATGAATGACACCTCATCTACAATACATATAAGAGGACACTTGACAAAGGTATTTGTTCACTATATAAAGAAGGTTTGGTGAAGTAAAATGGGTAATGAAACTTCTCACTACGTAATGAGGTTACTCATCACCAAAGGTCCATTTTATCTCTATTTTTACTATCATTCTTATATGAATATTATGGGGTTAATTACTATCAATTAATACACTAAAAAGGGGGGAAGTCAAGGGGCTAGCGAGTCCAATGTCGGAGGGTTCTTGCCAGTGGCACCCTCGCTGACCCTCCTGACTATGTTGTTGCGCTGCAGGACGTATTCCACACCTTCGGAGGAGCTGGGACAAAAATCAGTGGATTTCAGGCGGGAAAAGACCATTCTCCCGGACCACCTTTTTTCAGCGTTCAACACCCAAATACAGCTCAAGCACAAATTCAACATTCACACAATGGTTTCCATCTGTTTCGCTTTCAGGCCATCTGATGAAAGAAAGTAATTTTCTAATTAAAGTCAAACAATTCGTACACATTTCGATTATTCTGGGAGCATGAGCACACGGATTTGAGGACCGATTAGAGAGTTTGTCTTCTCCATTGGCATTGAAACTAAGACAAAACTGAGTCTTCATTGTTACAACATTAACTGTTATAAAAACTCATTCTCCATCAAACATGGCCATGTGGAAGCGTTCTATATTAACAACATAAACTTGTTTGCATACAATTGACGTATGTGCACATGCATGAGGTACTTGATGATGATCTATTAGACAATAACTGGTGGAATCCCTCGAATCTGGAAGAAACAATTACATTGAGTGAAAGAAATTGAAGAGACACAGACCTCGGTGCCAGTAGAGGCAGCGGTATTAATTAAGGCAGGCAAACAGGCAAGAGAGATGTTATCTGCTGTAGTCGGCAAATAGCTTCAATTTTCACGTGATTTTTGTCTTCACCTTTCTCATCTAATTATTCAAAACCCTTCCAATTATATCTCCATATCTCAACTTGCACTGTCTTCTTCTAAAACCCCATTACTCTCCCATTTATGATTTTACCTGCAACCTGATCCTAAGATTCGCATCAATGGCTTTCTCAGCTCTAAAAGTGCTGCTCCTTGTCATCTCTATGATTCTCACTGTCAAAGCTCAAGTTGATCAAGCAAGTTTCCGCCCCATTACCTCTGAATCACTTGCATTGCCGTGGACCATGGCTATGTACGATGAGTTGGGTGAGCATGAAGAGCATGAATATGATGGTGAGATTGCTAGAAGGTCTCTGTATAGAAAGCATTATTACATATCGTATGGAGCTCTCTCTGCTGACAGGATTCCATGCGCACCTCGTTCTGGGAGGTCCTATTATACTCACAATTGCCATAGAGCCAGAGGCCCAGCTAACCCATACACTAGAGGATGCTCCGCAATCACCCATTGCAGGAGATAGATAGCTTGCTAGATTTCCCCATTGAGCTTCATCATATCGAATCTTTTTATTCTTCGTTTTCGTTCATTTTGTTTCATTGGATTTGGGTTCAGATTGTATATCACAGATATAATTTGTGCCAAATTGGAGCGATAAAGTTGAGTGGTCTACCTGTGGCTTACGGCCTTCCACTGTACTTGTTAAAGGCGAATATCAAATGAAAATACATTTCCCAAATCAAATTACTGTAAACTTTCAGATTAATTTCCTATTGTAGATATATTTTTGTTTTTAAAAAATTTAAGTGTGGGAAGTAAAATCCTATTTTAGGCTGCAAAATTATACACAAGGGCAAGGGAAAGGTGATGAGCTAGGCATCATTATGAATCAACCTTTAGGCCAAAACATTAATATAACATAAATCTTTTATTGCAAAGAAGCTCAACAAAAATCTTTATATTCCATCAAGCGTTTTGATTACACTCTTCAATAAAGTATATAACTCTGGCTCGTCTAATTTTAATACACACTATTCACAAAGTAAAATAGAATGTATTTTAGTTTAATTTTACTGTGAGGAAAATAACCTTTTTATATTCCCGTCCTAACAAAGAATTGTTGACGGTCGTGTCGGTTCTGTTTGGAACTTTGAAGAGGACAATGTTGAATAGAAGCAGGGGCTTGCCAAACCTACACTTAGCTTTGACAAAGGATCAAGCTTGTCTCTCCTTGTTTTTTTTTTTTTTTTTTTTTTTTTTAGGGTTGCTTGAAAGTTTTTTTTTCACTAGTTTTGGGGGGTTTTTATTAAACTGATTTTGAGGTGTTTAAAAGCCATTACTTATCAGATTTTTTATGGACTGGTTTAAAAACCCTCAAAAACTAGTGTAGTGTACTTTTGAGGGGTTTATAAAAACACCCCAAATCGGGGTGTTATATGGGGTGTTTTGGCTAGTTTAAAAATTTTATTCCAAAAAACCTCGTTCCACTATTATTCATATACAATAATCCCTTTGCTGGTTTAAAAATTTATTCAAACCGCATTCAATCTTCAACTTTTAGATGACTGTTCCAATGCTTTTGAATTTTTATCTTAGGCTTTCTAATCCTTTGTTAGAGATATAGGTTTTTCTTTCTTTCTTCTTCATTTTCCCCCCAACTTTTTGTTCTTTTAATCTGGCAAACTCCTCTACGTGTACAATTTAATTGCTTTCTTACTAGTTGTTTTAACAATTATGTGGTTTTTCCTCTATTTGATTCTTTCTATTTGTGTTTAGTTGATTGATTGAATCTTTATCAGTTTGTTAAATAAAGATTGTTTTTGATGGCTTTGCTTCACTGATGAAGAAAAGAACAAAAAACTATTTTTAAAAATGTTGTTGCGTTTGTTATATTAGAATTTGCGAAGTCCAACATTGTGGCAGCATATTTATTCTCTTAAAATGACATTTCGAATGATTGTGTGATGAATTAATAAAATACAATGAAATAACTTACAAATTAATTAAACTTGAAGAAACTTTGATGCTAAGTATTGTTAATTGAAAAAAAAAAACTCTCAAATACTAGTTGAAGTTGGGGTATTTTTATGGGTATATATGTAAATTTATCATTTTAAAAAACTGTCAGAACCGCTGGAAAATAAACTCTCAAGCACAGGTTGGGTATTTTAAAAACTGCTACTAAAAACCCCTCAAAACTGTTATGGTCGTTTATCCTCAAAACCGCTATGATAGTTTACCCTCATAACCGCTACCATAAAACTCCCAAGCAGACCTTTAATTAATTTTTTTTTTTTTTTTTTTTAATGATTGGGGTTGTTCGAACTAGCTTACGCACAACTCAATTAATCTCCTAGAATCCTGGAATTATCAGTCGGGTAAGAACTCTAGTGACTACCTCTGTTGGCAATCAAAAAGGCTCGAACTCAAAACCCTTTGAATAATATACCTAAAAATCTTTACCAAACAACTCGGTCACCTAGATATAGTTAGTTAATCTCCTTTAACCAGGCTGTAAAGTTTATTGTTTTCTTTAATTTCCATCATTATTGGTCATGTGATTAGTGTATGATTTATGTCTAGAAAGGCTTCTTCAACATAAATTATTACTCACATTAATTGAGATGTTATAATTAATATAAACAAATTTGCTTCTTTATTGATTTTATCATGAGTTAACAACTTTTTCCCAACTGAATAATGGTTTAATGATAATTTCTCAACCTCACACTTTAAAATATTATTTTACTACTCAAAGTTCAATTATGTTTGTAAATTTCTTTGTGCAAAATGATAGAATGGTCAAAACGTCTTATAAGTAAGGGCAAGATGGTCAATTAACATTAATTGACCATCTTCTTCATCTCCCTTCCTTCAATTGCGACTGTCGTTTTTGCGCCACTGGTCGATTCCAGCATTGTTGCAACTCCCTGCCACCACCATCTTGTTCCTTGTGCCTCGCATATCAAAACCCGTCTTTCACCATCCTTATTGAACCCACCATTGGAGTCCTCATGTGCGCGTCCCCTTCTTCAGCCTGTTTTGGCCGGAACCCCTCCACCAGCTTCCCCACTCTCCATAGACCAAAACCCCAACGTTCCCAAGCCTCTCCTCCCAACATTCATCGGCCACCACCTTGTTAGGCTTTCACTGTTCTAAGCCAAATTTTGGTGGCTAATGGTTGCCAAAATCCAATCTAACACCACCACTTGAACCATCGAACTCCACAGTACAAAACCCCCTAGATCCCCGTCACCTGTTAGCCCGTCAATCGTCGGCCGAACTTGCCTCCACTGTCGTGATTGGATTTTTCTTTTTATGTGAAATTGGCTTTGATTTGATGTTTCTTTGAGGCTATTTGGGCTTATTGAATGTTTAAGGATTGATTGTGTTGGTTTTCTAGGTTGTTTCCATTGCCAGCAACAACCATTTTGCACTCTTTCGTCGACGCACACCAAGTGCCTGACGAATTGCCCCATTCCAAGTGGCGCTAGCTATTGAGGGGTGATTGTGGGTGGGGGTGAAAGGGGTTTTGGTGGGGGGATGCTGGTGAGTTGAATGGTGGTGACAATGTCAATTTTTGGTGTCACAATCGGCCGGAATTTGGGCTGAGACGCACAAAACTTTGAATTGCGCTGACGAAATGGCGTTGATATTTGGAAGGAGTATTTTTGTCTTTATTTGAATATCACTATTTTTAATAGGAACTGTTAAAAGAATTTAATATTTTAGTAGTAAAATGATATTTTAAAAGTAGTTGGGAAAATGTGATTACATCATTATTCGGGTGGGAAAAAGTTCTCTTTTATCATTGATCTCTGAGATCATTGGTGAAGTTGATGGGGGAACAAGAAATAGGACATTCCGCTCCTTGACTACAGTTGAAGTTCTGCTTCAAGTGATCGCAAAGTGAAAGATCTGTTAATAATAGAAGCAGTAGGAATTTCAGTATATATTTTTATGTTTTTTAAACTCGTACAGTATTTTTCAAAGCTAAAACTCCAATTCATGGTAGCACATGAAATTTGCTGACCAAATCTTTAGTAATCAACAAAATCATGAAATTTGCTAATAAAATCTTTTAGTAACATTAACAAATCAAGTTGACCATTCTAACACAATCCTTGCCATCCACCCACTGAAAATTCATAACATAACAAATCTTAAAATATATAGTTTTACATTATAAATTTGTATCGGTATCATTGACAAAATAATGAATTACATTACATAACCCACCAAGAAATAAATAAATCATTTCTTAATTTTACATTAAAAAATAAATAAACAAAAGAGGGAGATCATCACTCACAGCCAACTTATATTCCCATTTTCACATCCTCCGGGCACTTTTGGGCAGCCAAAAAGTCTACGAAGTACGAACCACTTCCCTCACTCCCTGCCCAAACAACTCAAAAGCTGCCCGCTTAGCTGTAACTCATCTTCACTTGCTTCTATTCAACAAAAAGGAACAACAAATAAAATTAAAATTCTCTCCAATGTGCATTTGTGCTCTGTAATCAATCATATGTGCAAGAATTCTTGAGCGAAATTGCAACATTGATCTTTTTAGGATCGTAGGTAAGAGAACACTGTATTTTCCTGTAAAATTTTGTCTTAACCAATTTCCCCAAAACGTTAGCCCTTGATCTGACCACGAAGTTCAGATCAAGAGCCACTGGTAAAGTTGTGGTGCCTGTTGAACTGCTCAAGCCAGCTCCACTTCCATATAATGGAATCTTATTACCCGTCACCACGACAGTAACTGTTCTCTGACTTTTCCTTGATTGATAGAACTCCTTAATCTGCAATACCATCTCACCACATTAATCAAACAATAAACTCAAATCGGTTTTATTGAGCACTAGATGGGAAAAGGATTTTTGTGACTTACCGATCCTGAGGCTACAGTGATCTGAGAATAGCTTAGATCTAGAGGAGTTGATGTTACATGAACTCCAAAGAATGTGCCAGTATTACGATAAATTAATTTTACAGTAGAATTCATGGTGATCATATCAGTTGCCACTCCAGTAGAATCTGAACCAGCTTGAACCTTTAATTGTTCAAATTTTATGCTCTGCAACATCAAAATGCAAATCAATTAAAACCCAGATTCAACATACTCAAGCAATTATAAGGAATTGCCAAAAGGTAACGTGCCAAACAAACCTTCATTGTAATCTTGGGTTTCTGGGGCTTACTAGCACCCCATAGAATCAAAGAGAAGAGAGAAAACAAAACAAAGAAGCCAAGAACAAATGCAAGAAAATAGCATCGACGAGGAAGACCCTTTCGGCGCTCTTCATCTTCAAGAAGTCCCTCTTCTTCAATTACATCACACTCTTTCCATTGCTTCTGTCCCTTCCTCTGCCCGCCTCTGGACCCATCATTAGGAGAGATCTTGCGCGATCCAGGCTTCAATGACCCAGAAAACCGGCTCGATGAGGACTCACGCGAGTGGCGGCCCACGGATGAGTGTGAATGTGGGGGTGAGCCAGCGGGGCTAAGGACTGGCGTAGA